GGTTCAGTTCAGCCTAGGTTCAGTTCTCACACACACACACACACACACACACACACGAGTAACAACAACAATAAAACATGAGATACTACTTAACAACCAGCTAAGGATGGCTAGCAAATCTGGTAAGGAATTGGATAAACTGAAACCTCATAGTTCCTAAAGGGATTGTATAATGGTGCAGCAATTTTAGAAAATCTTTGACATTTTTTAAACATGTTAAAACACAGTCAGTGCATGATACGTAAATACTACTTCGAGGTGGTGAGGGAAGGCAATGTGCGGGAAGGCGGTGTGTAGGATAGTTTTAGTTGTTAACTTGACACACCTGGGTTGTGTCAAGCCTCAATTGAGAAATTTCCTACAGACTGACCTGTGGCCATGTCTGTGGGGCATTTTCTTGAGATGAGTGATGCACAAGGGTCCAGCCCACTGTGGGCATTGCCACCCGTTGGAAGGTTGTCCTGTATTGTATAAGAAAGCAGGCTGAGCACAGACCGGGGGAGCAAGCTTGTAAGCAGCACTCCTCCATGGCCTGTGCTCCAGGTTCCTGCCCTGAGTTCCTGCCTTGGCTTCCCTTGATGATGGACAATGCTTATAAGCCAAATAAGCCCTTTCTTCCCCAAGTTTGTTTTGGTCAGAGTGTTTTGTCATGGCAACAGAAAGAACAGGTGTACATACTCAAGAGGAATTAAAACATTTGTCTGGGGTATAGCTCAGCGGTCAGCATGTGCTTAAAATGCACAAAGCCCTTGGTCCAATCCCTAGAACCAAAACAAAACAAATCAGCAACAACAAAAAGAATAAAGAAACAACAACATACATCCATACAAAATTTTGTGTACCAATATTCACAGTAAGATTATTCATATTGGTCAAAAGTAGAAACATCTCAAATGCCCATCAACTAATGAAAGCATAAGCAATTGTGGTATCCATGTAAAGAAATATTAGTCAAAAATGAATAAAATATTTACAAATGGGACAACACCAAAAAATCTTGAAAACTTGTGTAATATGAAAGAAGCTAGTCATAAAGGCTACCCAATCTGTGATTATAAAGAACTGAAAATCCCAGACTGGACAGATGTAAAGACAAAAAAGATTTCTGGTTTCCAGGGATAGGAGGATGCCAGGACCATGGGACGACCACCAAGGACAGCAGTAGGTGTGGAATGGAGCTGGCTGGGCTCTGCAAGATGTGCTGTGTGTACTGTGGGCAGCAGAGTCAAAGAGGTGGAGCTGCCAGAACCCTTTGGGGCCCAGAAGATTGTGAGTGAATCCCAGATGTCCAGCTTTGAGCTACTTTGCTGGACTTTGGTTTTGCTTAGGTGTGCCCGATTCTTCGCTTTGAAATAAGACAGTACTTGTTTTGGATTTTTCAGGAGCCCCCAGTTAAGAGACTTTAGAAGAGACTATGGACTTTTCAGTGTTTGGATTAAGGACTATGGGGCTTTTAAGGATGTACTGTCTTATGTTGTGATATTAACATCATATCTTGGGGACAAGAATTGGAAAGGTTATGGTTTAATGGTGATGTGTTTGTGTGTCAAGTTGACAAGGGGTCAATTGTGCTGGATAGCTTTAGTGTCAACTTGACACACCTGGGTTGAGAGAGCTTCAATTGGGGAATTGCCTTCATTGAACTGGCCTGGGGCCATGTCTGAGGGGCATCTTCTTGATTGTTGTGTGATGTGGGAGGGCCCAGCCCGCTGTGGGTGGTGCCACCCCTGGGCAGTTGGGCCTGTGTTGCATAACAAAGCAGGCTGAGCAGGAGCCTGGGGAGCAAGCCAGTAAGCAGTGTTCTTCACGGCCTGTGCTCCAGCTCCTGCCTCCAGGTTACTGCCCTGAGTACTTTGGGCTCCCTGATGAACTGTGACCCAGGATATATAATATAAAATAAACACTTTCTTCCTCAAGTTGATACTGATCAGAGTATTTTGTCACAGCAACTGAGAAACTAGAACAGAGGCATTATCTGTAAAAGGACAGTGTGAGTTTTCTCTTCGACTTTCTCCCATGTAAGACCTTTGCCCACATTTAACCCAGGGATCCATTTATTTGTGGGAATGTTAGAATTTGTTCCAAAAGTAGTATAAAGATAAAGACAAAACGAATTGTTTCTGCCACTTAGAACTAGGATTATGCAAAATAGATTTAGTAATCCTAAACAGACTTCCCACCCTGAAAGAAGATTTCCCACACTCCTTCATCTTTGCCTTTTGCCTAAGGTTTGATGCCTGAAGCCGCATCCTAGTGTTGCACTGTAAGGTGGAAAAGGTGTTATTTCTGACTGGGAGAATTGAGTATGCTTCACTGCACAGTGCTCATCTGAAGGCATTTTACTCTACCACTACCCCCAGATGACCTTTTTTACTTTTGATGTGTGGCAATAGTTTAAGTTGCTACAACTCAAGGGGTGCTGCTGTCATGTAGTAAGCAGAGACCAAGGAGAGGGTCCTCCTGAGCATACCTATTGTACAGGACAGATACCTCCAGACACCAGTAGTACACAAGCTAAGAGCCTCCATTGCACCAATGGTTCTGAAAGTGGGCTTCAAAGACCAGCAATATGAGCATCCTATGGGAATGTGGTAGAAATGTAAATCCTCAGGTTCTGTGCCAGATCTGCTCTGATGAGTAATAGTGATTGTCAGCTTGACAGGATCTAAGCTCATCTAGGAGACAAACCTCAGGGAATGTCTATAATGGGGCTTCTAGAGTGTGTGAACTGAAGTGGGAAGACACACCTAAATGCAGGCTGCACCATTCCATGGGCTGGGGTCTTGGGCTGAATAAAAAGGAGAAAACAAATGAAGAGCCATCTTTCTCTGTTTCTTGACTGTGGATGCAATGTGACCAACTGCCTCACACTTCTGCTTCCATGACTTCCCCATCAGGATGGACTGTATTCCATTAAGGTCTAAGCCCAAACAAACTCTTCCTTCCTAAGTTGCTATTGTCACGTACTTTGTCACAGCAAATGAGAAAATTCATAAGTACATCTGTCAAAACAGATTCCAGAGATGGGGCCCAGTAACAGGTGTTTAATAAGCCCTTTTGGTGACTATGGTGTGAACAGGGGTTTACAAACGTAAGAGGCTGTGACATGGGAAACACTTGATACTGTTTTGTTCTATGTGATGATGAAAGGGAGAAAAAAGAGATAGATGAAGGGAACCAAGATTTGTGCTTCTTTTTTGTTTTTTTGAGACAGGGTTTCCCCGTAGCCCCCAGTGAGCCTTGAATTCACTATGTAGACCAGGCTGGCCTTGAACTCACAGAGATCTGCCTCTGCCTCTCAAGTGCCAGATTAATTTGTGTTTATTTTTCCTCAATCAGTTTGATATGAAAAGGAAGATGGGGGGAGGGGGGCAGTGAAGGAAACACTTTAATAGGTAACTCCTGACCTCTTCCTGACTGTTGAGTTATGTAGATTATAGATATAGGATGTGTACAAATAGCCCTGACTCCCTGGGCTAGCACAAACTGGCATACCCTGTGCAACCAGCCTAAACCTCAACAGAGTTCAAAAACTTCTCTGTAGTTACCTGTATAGACCTTGGTGCCATGCCAACTCACTTGTGTGGTGAACCCTTTCCCAAGCCTTCCCAGTCTGTAACCTAAACCAGGACCTGTTCACATCACAGTGAAATCTGTAGTAGCTTAAAGCAAACAAACAAAAATCACATAGGCCTTCCTGGGCTGGGCAACCAAGTTGATTTACCCCAAGGACTTAGCCAGTTCTTTGTGACTTTTGCTATGGCTCAGCAGGGTTGGAATCATTCTAGGAGGACAAAGAGTCTATCAGGAAATCAACAGGACTATGAATCGGGTGCCAAAGGGGGGAGGGAAAGATGCAGTTGACTGATACAGTCTCTAAAAGCAGGCTTTTACCTGCATGTGAAAAATCAATGGCACAGAACAGCTACTGAAAATGAAAACATTTTTACTATTTTTAACTCTAAAAATAAAAACCATATATGAACTGTATGCTCTTCTTGCAATTTCATATTTTATTTGACATCTTGGAATTATCACTTTTGCTTCAGATTTATACTGGCAATGTCAAGTATTCTGAGAATCTTTTTTCCTCAACATTTTATTTGGTGGTCGAAGACGTATTTATAGCAACATGACAAAAGAAGTGTACGGGTCTATCATTTTGTTGTACACATCAGAATCAGGTGGGCAACAAGCCAAAAGACAGGTGTGCACAGCAGCCCACCTATATGTCAGGACTGGTAGGTTGCTCCAAGCACCACTCTGGATGTGATTCAGCTGCTTCCTACTTTATAGCATACCACTGGAGACTCAATATCCTGGAAAAGAAAATCTGATCAGCCTACTGTGAACGACATGCCCATCTCAGAGAGGATAGAACTGTGACCAATGGGGAGGAAGACAGCTTAATCACTAGGCCATAAAGACTCTGTTGAAGTGAGGTAGGTGATTCTCCAAAAGGCTTTCTGGGAGTGGAGTATGGTTCGGTAGCAGAGCACTTACAAGACAGGCACAAGGCCCTTGGCTTGATCCCTAGCACTAGGTGGAGGAAAGGATTTATGGCTATGGCTCTTGCTGCCAACAAAAGGTTCAAAGGGGGCAGAGTACCCAGAGAATAGGCATCTACCTATGATAAACACAGACACTCTGCAACTTGGGCCTGATGTAACTGGTCCATGAACCTATGGCAAACTGACCAAAGGACACTAGAAAAAGTACTCGGAGTTACCTAACATGGCAGCCTGAGAAGGAGCCATAGGAAGCAAATTCATTTTGGAAAAGGTAAGAAGTAGAAGATACTAGAATTGTCTCAATGAGACAGGGATATTGAAAACAGAGTAGGAATGTCAGGGAGACTGAGAAGGTTGGGATGAGGCTATTGGATGAGGAAGTTAAGTCATCTCAAAATGGGAGGGGATGAGATGGACTGTGACAAGTGTAAGATAAAGTCCATCTACCACTAAAGGGCTAAACACTGTCCCAGATGCCAAAATGACCCTTTAGCATGCCATACCTAGTTTAGCCTCTCTTGAAAAGTGAATTTTTAGTCCACCTTCCAATTCCTCAAACATCATGATCTGTACAAAGAAAGTGAGGCAGAGATTCAAGTTGTGCCTCTGAATCAAGGCAGAGTTCAAAGAAAGTAAACTCAGAGGCAAAGGGCACTGGGGGAGTTCACCTCATTAATTCCAGGATGAAGCCAGGGGCCGGGGATGTAGAGGGTTTCCTGGGGGCCTTTATTCCAGTATCGTCCTAAGTTTTGTCCATTGATGAATATAACACCTTTTCTCCAGCCCTGGAAAAGATTGGGAGATTTCAGGATATAAGTAAAGTCTAGATGTAAAGATAGAAGACAGACAGACCTCCTACATCATTGATATACCAAACCTTAGTAGACCAAGGCATAATAGATCACCAACTAAAGTACCTGGGGGAGGGACTGGGTAGTCCTATGCCACTGCCTTGGCCAGAGGGTGGCTTAGCATCCAGGTCTCAAGGAGGCCTCTGACTTCCATCTCATCTCCCTGGGTCTGCCCTAAGCCAGCAGAGGGGATGTCCACTTATTATCCAGTATTCATCAAAACATGTCAGGCTTTTAAAACACAGCTCAAGTTGAAAAGTAGCAGGACTGGCTGCCAAGATGCACTAGTATGTCACAACTGTCTGACACATTGAATGGTGAGCTCATGACAGTGATAAGAATCTCTACATCTTGGGTTATATGAGGGGACAGCCTCATCAGATCTCTCCTGCAGCACATGCTCCAGCTGGCCTGGCTGGTACACACTGCTCCTGTCTCTGTTGCATCTATTCGCTTTCCTTGCCCTGCCATAGTGGGACCCAGGAAGATCAGCCTCCAAGATGGCTGTGAAGTGGCTATGGCCTGGGGAGCTTGGGCACAGGACAGGGTCTGTGTACTGGAGAGTTTTTCTAAAGGTTCTTTGAGGTGGGAAGACTGAGACACATGGGTAGGAAAGACATGGCACTAACCTGTACTTTTATGAAGGTGTCCTGGGGAAAATCTCCAGTTCTCAGAAAACTGAGGAAAAAGGCAGGGCCTTGAATCTTCTTTGTGACTGGTTTCCAGAAGCTAGGAAATTTCCTAAGAGGGAGTCAAAGACCAGAGAGAAGTCATATCATTCTTCCAAAATGTCACCTGTGACCTCTGAAATTGGCCTCTTCCCTGAACCCTGGCATCTCCAGTTGTGACACCAGCTATATCCTCAGCATGAATGGTACAGTAAGGCATGAGACTGGTAGAGGGTAGATGAGGGATGAGGGTCACCACTCTGCTCCTACACAGCTATAAAACCAAAGGCTTCCCCCTGGAGCACTCTGAACATCCTTCCAGCCCTACATGTCCACCTTTTAGATATGGTTTATCTTATTTTGTTTACAGTGCCAGTGATTGAACCCAGAGCCTCACACATACCAGGCAAATGCTCTACTACAAAGCTGTAACACTGCCCTTATCTTTGATCAATCACCTGAAGTTTAGGTGCCTACCTTTGTATGAATGCACTTTTCAATTCCAGGCTGCAGATTTTAAATTTTCTCGTTGGATAATTGTCCAGATAGATATCCCCAGTTAAACCTATGGGATGGGAAAGAAAGGACATGTGAAGGGGATGGGAAGAACAGAAACAGATGTGGGCTGCAGCCAGGGTGCTCCCTGAAGGAAAGTGCTTTCCTTGCCTCATCTAGCTGGAAGGTTTTTATAAATTCCACAGATTTTTTTTTTACTCCCCTCCCCACCTTGGTGGTGCTAAGGATTGAACACTAGCTCTCTTGAATGCTAGGCAAGAGCTCTACCACTAAGCTACCCAAACCCAAATCCTAGACAGGTTTTCTTTTTAATTTCCTAAGTGTATACTCCTAGATAGGGCCTCATAGTCCACATTAATATCACAGAATGACTGCAGTTCTTGCAGATATGGCCAGAATGGGGCTTCTGACTAGCTTGAGTGCTCAGATATGTCAAAACACTTAGGCACAATGAAGGTACAGGGCTCTGCCCAGGAGCCAGGTATGCTAGGCACAAGCAGAAGGACACATATAAGGCCTAGTTTCCTAGAAATGGAAAGGCACTGTCTCTAGAGAGAAACCCCTGTCAGAGAGGTCTTTACAGCTTTCTCTTCTTGATACCACTTTCAAAATCTTCTCCAAAGTGGAAGGCAGTATGCTGGCTCTGGTACAGTAACTAGAGTACACAAAAATATCACCCCAGTTTCTGCACACAGGAGTCTCATAACATAGAGTGCTCTTTTCCAAGCACATGTCTGTTCCCAACTGTCATTGGCCTGGGGAAGAACAATAGGAATCTGATGCGACAGATCACAGGCACCTGCCTCTGGAGCCTACCTTTTCTCTCCTTGTTGATATTAGGCCCAAAAGAAAGCCGGCCTTGGTTCTCCACCAGGATCCTCAGAATGCGATTTTTCTTGGTTTGCTATGCAAGACAGACCAGACTGAGCACCATTTAGCACCTTTCTTAGACCTTCTAGGCCTCCCTGGAGCTGAGACAGGACATGAGCAGGGGGCTGATGAACCACAGGCCTCAGAACCCTGAAGGTCTCCAACTCTGATAGACAGGCCCTTGCACCCCTGCTTCTCCTTTTCATTCCCCTGTTCTCCTGGGCTGGGTTTTTCAGGGAAGAAAGAATCACCTGAACATTTAAGAAAGGATCCTCTTGGGACTGGTGACCAACCCAGAGTATTTTGAGCAGCAGATATTCAAGGGAGAAAAGCTCTGCTCACCCAAAGCACATATGCCCATATCTCCAAAATGTGCATAACACTTCTGTGGTTGCTGTTCTCTTCAGGGATCAGCCCAAGGGCAGAGGAGCAGAAATGATCTCTCATAAGGCCTCACTGACCCCTAGGCATAGGCCTAGCAAGCACTAAATTACCTCACATATTAATATTTGGTTATATACATTTTTCACAATGGACAGCTGATCCTTTGAATGATCCAGGACTCCTATATACTTGTTATCCAAAAACACCTGCCAAAGAAAGAAGAGAGAATTATTAGGTCCTCATAAGGAAAAGGAGGAAAGCAGTCTTTTTAAATTTTATGTATATGAGTTTTGCCTGCATGATTGTATGTGTACCATATGAGTGGATCACCTGGAAGTGGAGTTACAGATGGCTGTGAGCTGCCATGGGGTGCTGGGAACTGAACCAGATCCTCTGCAAGATCAGCAAGTGCTCTGAACCACTGAGCCATCTCTCTAGCCCCAAAAGCAGCTTTGAAAATGCAAAAATCTAAGCTCTATGACCTCACCAGCTATGTGTATTTGGCTATGTTTACAGTACCACATACGAGTTTCCTCCCATTGAGTTGGCTTTTAGCTCAATTAGGTAACTGTTGATTGCCCCCAAGATAAGAGTGCCACTATTGCATCAATGTCATATATTGTGCAGGTCATTGATGTAGTTATTTGAACTTGAAGCTGGTATCAGACCATCAATTGATGTTCACTTTAAATGCGGAAGTCACAGTGGAAGGGTTAGACAGGGGGAAAGAGAAGAGAGATAAATAACACCTAGCTAGTTAAAAAAAAAAAAAAAGAGGAAATCAATGACAAATTACATATACAATATCTCTATATGAGTCCATGTGTATACCTAAAGGTTACATAACAAGAAACAGTGCCAGACAGGATAAACCTTCCTTTGAGTTGTTGGCCAGGGTGGTCTAAAAGATAGTAAGAGCCAGGGAGGAAGTACATGACTCTATGGAAATAGTCCTACAAGTTCCTGTGTCTTTGCTCATATGAACCTAGAGCAATGATGTCAGCATGCACAAACCATGCAAATTCAAACAGACAAAAACCAATATAGAACCAGGGAAATGGACAGCTGACTCCAATCTTAGCTGAAGAAATATTGGCAACTGATTACTGCTGGGTGAGGAAGAGTTGATCTTCCTAAAGCAAGAGACTCTAGATAGGCTGACTAGATTAGACCTCAGTAGACAAACTTGCAGTGAGGGACTTCTAGAGACACTAACAACACAATAGGCCTTAAGACAAATCACAGAATGTATGAATTCCAGTGCGGGGGGAGCTATGGGAAGGTGCCAGTGGGGAAGGGGATATAGAGATGATTAAGATTGATTGAGATGTTCTGTATGAAATACACAAAAATTCAATTTTAAAAAAATTTAAGAAAAGAAAATGCAAAAATCAAAACAAATCTAGAAGCAGAATGGATTTAGTGCTTCCCAGAATTCCACAGGCTGACCACAAATTCACAAGGGAGAGATAATATTTATAGTACAGTGAGAAGATGCTGAATTGTGGCCTGACATAGAGTCCTGGTATCAAAACTGGGACCTGGTTCAACTGCAGAGCAAGGAGGGGAAAATGTTTAAAGGCCTCCCAGAAACCAGAAGGGAAAGAAGAGTAGAGAATGAATAAACATTATCAAGGAAATGATGAGAAAGGGGAAGCATGGGAATTGTAGGGACACTGGCTGCTCTGTATCTGCCTACCTTACCTTTGGGGTTCAGCTCTGCAAGATATTCAGTTCGGCCAGGTACCCCACAATTTGTATCTGGGCATCCTGCTGCCACAATCTATCTGGCTTCAGGGACAACCTACACATTAACTCATTTTTTCCCTATTCCCTACAACACTGATTCAACTCTAGATTAAGCCCCTAGCCAGGCAAGACTATATATAAAGATAATGTTTCCTAGACTATTTAAGCTAAATCACAATTTTCCTTTTCAAAAAAAATTATTTATGTATTTTTATTCTATGTGCATGAGTGTTTTGCCTGCATATATGTAAATATACCCATGCCTGCAATGCCCACAGAGGCTAGAAGAGGCACTGGATCCCTGGACCTAGAGTCATGGACAGTTGTTAGCTGACATGTGGGTGCTGGGAACCAAACCAGTCTTATACAAGAGCAACCAGTTCTCTTAACTACTGAGCCATCTCTCCAGGCCCCAAATCACAATTTTTCAATTGTAATTTGTCTGGGAAACTCTAACAATAAAAATCAGTAAATATTAAAAACAAGAGTGTTACTAGTAAACAGGACACAGAGATCACAATTTAAGCTTACTAGAATCTAGTTACAGAGTTTATATATTCTTTTTTAGTGTTCTTTTAAAAAATATTTTATTATTTTTATTTTATGTGTATGCATGTATTGCCTGCATGTAGGTAAGTGCATCCATGTTGTGCAATGCCCGAGAGGACAGAAGAGGCTGTTGGATCCCCTGGAACTGGAGTTACGGACAGTTGTTAGCTGCCATGTGGGTGCTGGGATTCGAACCCAGTTCTTCTGCAAAAACAGTCAGTGTTCTTAACTGCTGAGCCATCTCTCCAGCCCCTTTAGTGTTCTTCTTTTACTTCTAGAAGCTCAATTAGGCACTTTATATTTTCTGTAGGGCACAGATGAAGGTACACTGGGGTTATAGAAGAGTGATAGAAAAAGGATAGAAAACCTCTTGGTGCCTGGGAGTAGGAAAGCTCCAGTGTTAGGGCCTGGGTGCCCAGGAACCATGTGGAGTCAAGACCTTAGCTGGCCATCAAGAGGAGTAGGAAGTCCATTTTTGAGAATCAGTCTTCTCCAGTCTAGAATCTGCAAATGACAGAGACCTCCCTTGTCCCCATCACAAGTCTAACACAGAGGCAAATCCACTGCTATGCACAACTTGGATCTCAGAGGAAGGGGTTTTGGGGGATGCAGCCACTCAGAGAAGGCTGAGCCTGCTGCTCTACCATCAGCCTACCACCAAAGGAATGTGGAACCATGGCTCACAGTTAGGGACCACAGTTCCAGGCTCACAGGAGGGAAGCACAGGCCCAGTTCACAAGAGGGGATCACAAGTCTGGCTCACAGAGGGAACCATAGCTCCAGCTCATGGGATGGGATCACAGCTCTGGCTCAGAGAAGGAGATAACTCTGGTTCATGGGAGGGGACCACAGCTTCAGGAGTTTATATATTCTTTTTAAAATTTTTTAAATTTATTTACTTTTATGTGTATGAATGTTTTGCCTACATGTATGTAAGTGTACCACATACATACAATGCTCTCAGAGACACTGGATTCCCTGGAAGAGGAGTTACAGACAGTGATAGCCACTATGTGAATGCTGAGAACTGAACCCAGGTCTTCTGCAAGAGCAGCAAGTACTCTTAAACACTAAGCCATCTCTCTAGTTCCCAGAATTTATATATTCTATGATTTTCACAGTTAGTTTTTGTCAACTTGACAAGAACCTAGACATACCTGGGAAAAGGAAATCTCAGTTGAGAAATTTCCTTCATCAGACTAGCCTATGAGCATGTCTATAGAGCGTTTTCTTAATTGCTAATTGAAGAGAGAGAGCCCATCCCACTGTGGACTGTCCCTAGGCAGATGGACCTAGGCAGATAGAGAGCTAGCTGAGGAAGTCAGGGGGAGCAAGCCAAGAAGCAGCATTCTTCTGTGGTTTCTGCTTTAGCTCCTGCCTACAGATTCCTGCTTGGGGAGCCTGCCCTGGCTTCCCATGATGATGGACTAAAAATTGTAAGGTGAAATAAACCCTTTCCTCCCAAAGTTGCTTTTGGTCATGGTGTTTGTCACAGCCACAGAAAGTAAACTAGAACAATGATCATTTATTGAATGCCTACTATCTATTTTCCCGGGAAATGGGTCACCTAGTATAAATAGCTAGCTGTTGAAGAACGCAGATGCCTCACAACACAAAGAATCACAATGCACCCTAACAGTAGCTGTAAAGCTGTGAGCAGACTGCTGTGGAGGATTCAAGAAAGGAAGAACAAGTCCTAAGCACTGGTCACATCCGGGAGGGCTATTTTGGAGACATGTAGAACAATGGCATATGGAGTCAACAGGAGGTGGCAAACAGAGAAGGGGCACGATGAATCATTTTATCTTGGCAGAAGACTGATGGCACTCTGAGAGAAGGCAGGGAAGAGAGGACAGAGGTGAGGGAAGGGTCTGAAACAGGAAGACCAGCTGTGCAGCTTCAACAAGCGCATACAAAATACCAAGTGCAGACTAAGGTGGCAGTGGCCTGCATGTGGAAAGAATGGCTGAGTACTTCTGCACCACACGGAGGCCAGGTGAAAACAAGAAATAAATAAAAAGGAAAAGGACCTTATGAGAGCCTGGCATGGCGATGTACACCTTTAATCCCAGCACTCAGGAGGAACAGGCAGCCAGATCTCTATGAGATTGAGGTCAGCCTGGTCTACATAGCAAGTTCCAGGCCACCTGGGTCTACAGGGAGACCCTGTCTCAAAAAAAAAGGGGGCGGAGAACATATGAACAGAGACTATACAGAGATATAGCTGGGAAGCTGTGAGTCCATGAACCAATCCAAGACTTACTTAGGAAAGCAATGCATGTGCACTGGGAAGGGAGTTTGAAAAGCCATAGGACACAGTATACTAAGTGGAGACAATGTCTAGTAAATGGTAAGAAAAATGGCTCACTCTGCAGCCAATGAAACGGAGGGACGAGCTGGAGTCATAAAAAACAGACAAGGTTGGGCATGGTGGGACACACCTGTAATCCCAATATTTGGGTCACAGAGGCAGGTGGATTTCTGTGAGTTTGAGGCCAGTCTGGTCTACATAATGAGTTCCAGGCCAGTCAGGGCTATGTATATGAGGCCTTGTCTCAACGAACGAACAAACAAAAGCCAGAAGTACAGATTGAATGTTTTTCATCCAAAATGCTTAGGACCAGAAGTATTTCAGCTTTTGGGGATTTTCAGAGTTTGGATTTCCACAAATTTTGGCAGTTGAGTGTTCCTAAGTAAAAATCTGAAATCTTCATAGTACGAGAAGATGATGTATAGGCTGCTGGAAGAAAAAAGTCATCAGCAATCTTATTTAGTTGTGAACTCTGTGAGCTACAATAATGACCAGTGTGGCAAGATATGCCCATGGGTGCCAGAGTGATGTGAATGTTATAAGGGTAGCCAAATGTTTTCTGATTGAATTTAAGGTCTGCTTTACAGGAAGAAATACATGCCTGGTACTGTAAATCTGACCAAGAGCCTACACTTGGGGAGCTCACAGGCCATGGGGGGTGGTGAGCCTACTACTGTTATTTTGCTAAATGGACATAGTATCAAATTATCCTCTGTCTCTTTAGCCATAAGTTTGTGTAGCTCTCAGAACTCATCAGAGGAGTTTCTTTGTGCAGTGTACTGTGGTTAATGTAGAAACTCACAATTGGTCAAAGTCCAGAGAATAAGTATCCATGGAGTGCTCAGCCACAAATGGTACACTTATGTCACTCCCTTACCCTGACAAGGCTCAGTGACCATTGCAAAATAAGGGGCAGAGAAACTGTAAAGAGCCAGAGGTTGAGGAGAACCAGAGTGAAATAATGTCTTATGGACAAGATAAGACCACTGCACTCATGAACTCACAGAAGTTGTGGTTACCAGCACAAGACCTGCACAAGATCAAGCCAATCAACATTCCAACATGGAGTTATTGACAGCTGGTGGCTTCTGGGGAGGGAGAGTCAGTTTAAGAGTGTGGCCCCTGGTAGGGCAACCACACTCTGATGGATGGCCCCACACTAATGAATATATAGGTAGCACAAATTGGGCTTCGTTGGGTTACTTAAAAATAAAAGAGGACACAAAGTTGGGAGGGAGTAGGAAAGTGAAGGGGCTATTTGAGAGGAGTTAGGGGAGGGGGAGGAGTGACTCTGATCAAAATACATTGTATGAAATTCTCAAAGAATTGGTAAAATATATTTTTTAATTTTTTTAAAATAATTTTATTATTTTTATGTGTATGAGTGCATTGCATGCATGTGTGTAAGTGTACTCATGTCATGCAGTGTCTGCAGAGGTCAGAAGTAGGTGTTGGATTCCCATGGAACTGAAGTTATGGATGATTGTTAACCACCATGTGGGTGCTAGGAATCGAACCCAGGTTCTCTGTAAGAGAGGTGAGTGCTCTTGACTACTGAGCTTTCTCTCTAGCCCCCAAATATTATATTTTTTAAAAAGTAAAAAAATCTGAAATTGTGTGCATACCTCTGTGAGTACTCTGAGTATGTATGCATATTCCCTGCATGTGCCTATGGAACCAGAGATTGACACTGGATGTCATCCTCAACCACTCTCCACCTTATTTTTTGAGACAAGGTCTGTTCGCTGAACCTGGAAATCACTGTTTCAGCTAGGGTGGCTGGCCAGTGAGCTCCTGGGGTCCTCCTGTCTCTACTCCCCTGGACGTGTGGGGCCACGGCTGGCTTTTTACATAGATGTCAGGGAATCTGAATTCAGTTCTGCATACTTGTGCAGCAAGCCTTTTACCCACTGAGTCATTTCCCCAATCCCCTCTGAAACTTTTTGAACATCGTGTTTCTACTGAGAATTTCAGACTTTGAACTAAGCTTGAAGTCTAGAGGTAAGGTGCCAACAAAAAGATGTAGAACAGGAAACTTGAAGAACACTTAGAACAAACTGTTCCTAACTTGGAGTGGGATGGAACTTTCATCCTCTGCACTATAACTTCCCAGTTGCATATCCTTTGAAAGGCCTTTGCCTTTTCTGGGGTTTCCCTGTTCATAACACATATCTCAGGTGTTTTAAGACTTAAATGACAAGAGTCAACTGCTCATATGCCATGTGAATGTTAGGGATTGATAATACAATAAATATAGTGCTTACTGAAGCATTTCCTGGGTTGACGAACACTATCAGCTCATAGAAGATTCAGGGGTACACTCCTAGGCATGTCTATGCACAAAAGATTTCACAAAGACAGATGCTAGGCAATAGCGATAATTTTCTGAAGATGAAATGACTTGATTACCACTTAGACATTTACCTCAGCAGCACAGGGTGATGGTGATATACAAGTGCCACTAGGAATTATGTATTGTTCCCTACCTGCCCCCGATCATGAATATGGCTGCTTGAGGTGAGGAGGTCCCCAGTGGAGATGACAGTCTCATAAAGCGTGTACCCATAGGACTGGCCATTTCCTTGGTTCACAGGCAGCTGCTCCATTGAGAGTGGCTTGACAGACTTGATTGGCTATGACAGAGACAGGAGTAACAACTATGGTGAAGGGTCATGCTGAACAGAAGAGTCTCAGAAATGTCTACCCACAGCCCATTTCTCCAGAGGAATGACCCCAACAGCCTCCCAAGCAGGAGTACCAAAAAGGAAACGAAATGCTAAATATGTTGAAACATAACCTAGAAACTGTCATTGTGGTTTCCCAAGCCAGTTTTATGTTTCTTTCTTGCACATGCCAGCCATTAGGAGAAAAGCAAATTCCTGTAATCCCAGCACTTGAGAGGCAGAAACAGGGGATCCCCGGGGGCAAGCTGGCTAGCTAGACAAGCTAGAATTGGTGAACTCCCAAGTTCAGTGAGAGACTCTTTCTCATTAAACCAAACACAGAATGATCAAGGAGACGTTGATTTTGGACCTCCATATGCATGTGCACACATGCACAAGCACACTCACATGGACAAGCATAGTCAACATATGCCGAAACATATGGAACTGCACATGGACACATGTATACACACACACACACACACACACACACACACACACACACTATGGTGAGGCAGAAACAAACTAAATCTTAAAAATTTATAATCATACAAAAAAGCACAGCAGCAAACAACTCACTGGCCACCTTAAGAGGCCATATAAATTCTTTTTTTTTTTTTCTAATAAAAGAAAATACTTAAACTTTTGCCCCCTTTATGTATTAACTATACTTAAGGGTGAAATGATGAAGAAAAAGTTCTTTGGTGCCAAAGAATTCAAGTTAGCAATTGTAGAAGGGATTACAGAATTAAAATATTAACAGTTTCAAGGCCTTTCCTGAAATACTGGCTTACTCTATCAGCACTTGGCTTCTCATTTCGCCTATACCTCAACCTTCCCTTCCTATCTATTACAGGATTATTTTTAATTGCTTTTAAAATTTATTTCCTGTGTATGCTTGTTTTACCTGCTTGTATGTAAGTGTACCCATGTTGTGCAATGCCAGTGGATACCAGAAAAGGGCATTGAATCCCCTGGAACTGGAGTTTGGGGAAGTTGTTAGCTGCCATGTGGGTGTTGGGAACTAAACCTGGATCCTCTGGAAGAAAAGCCAGTGCTCTTAACCACTGAGCCATCTCAATGATGAATGAAATTTGCATCTCAAAAGAGTAGGGTTCTCTAAAGAAAGTTATCATCCCTATAGTAACATCACCACTGGGCTGGAGAGATGGCTCAGTGGTTAAGAGCATTGGTTGCTCTTTCAGAGGACCTGGGTTCAAATCCTTGTGCACCCATGGTGGCTAACAACTGTCCAAAACTCCAGTTCCAGGGGATCTGATGCCCTCTTCTGACTTCCAAGGGCACTGCACAACATGGGTGCACTTATATACATGTAGGCAATACATTCATACACATAAAATAATAAATAAAATATTTAAAAAAGAAAAGAAAAAACATCATCACAATAAGACAATAATGATTGTACTATTTCCCTAAAACCCTAAAATTTCCTAGTGATTTGCTAGAAAATACTTGGTAACTGACTTTCTAAGGGGAAAAACCTGATTTGTAACTTCCTTTAGAGAACCTTACTCTTTTGAGATGCAAATTTCTTTCTTTATGGTTTAAGTTCTAGGATGATGTCTGATCTTCTTTAAAATAATCTTGTGAGGGACTGAAGAGATGGTTCAGTAGTTAAGAGCACCGGCTGTTAATTCGCAGTTGCTTTTTCTAAAATTTTTTTTTTAATTTTTATTTTATGTGTATTTGTATTATGTCTGCATGTACGTAAGAGCACCCAAGTCATGCAGTACCCACAGAGGACAGAAGAGGGCATCAGATACTCTGGAACTAGAGTTACAATTTTTAGCTGCCATATGAGTGCTGGGATTTGAACCTGGGTCTTCTGCAAGAGCAGCCAGTGCTCTTAATCACTGAATCATCTCTCTAGCCATAGAATTTCCAATTTCTGTAGTGTAAATAGTCCCAGTATGGTTCATTTCAATGTAATAATTATCAATCACTACTAAAAACCATAAGAAGGCAAACAAACAGCCCCTGAGCCCACTGACCAGCTGTGAAACCAGAGACAATCAGCATCAAGTGCCTGGGACAGGATATACTGAAAGCATAACACTACTGCCCATGAAGTATATTTGCAAGCAGATATACACCAAAGAAAGCTGAGTGTATTAGGGTTCTCCAAAGAAGCAGAACCAGTAGATTGAATATATATGTATAGAGATTGATCAGCTTAGCTCACAGGATAGAATCCGAGTAGTCCAACAATGGCTGCACCACACTGGAGAGGCTGAGAATCCGTGGTCACTCAGTCCACGAGGCTGGATGTTTTAGTAGTCCCAATCTGGAGCTGAAGGTCTGACGAATTCCAAAAGATCAGCTAGTCTTCAGTCTACAGCAGCAAGATGAACTCACCAGCAAGAGAGAAGGCAAGCAGCAAGAAGCCTGGCGTTCTCCTCTGCCTTGACTTTTTATACCGGCTGCCATCAGAAGGTAACACCCACATTTAGGGTACGTCTTCCGGCTTTAGATGATCCAATTGAGAAGATCTCTTTCATTTCAGTTAATCCCAGATCCAATCAAGTTGACACCCAGGATTAGCCATCACACTGAGCATGACAGCTCAAGAGCTGGCTTAGTGGTTAATAGCACTTGCTGCTCTTCAGAGAGCCCAAGTTCCCAGTGCCCACATTGGGTGGCTCACAATTACCTATAACTCCAACTCCAGAGGATCTGGCATCCTCTCCTGGACTCCATAGGCACCTGCATTCACACATACACATAAACACGCATAGACACTCATATACACACAAAATTTTAAATAAAATGAATTTTTAAAAGAAAGCTGAGCTTGATTGATGCATACCTGTAATCCCAGTACTTGGCCAAACGGAGATCATGAATTTGAGGCCAGCCTGGCCTATAGAGCAAGACTTATTTCAAAAAAACAAACAAACAAACAAAAAACAAAAGGGAGCTAGGCATGGTGGCACATGCCTTTAATCCCAGCACTAGGGAGGCAGAGGCAGGCAGATCTCTGTGAGATCTAGGCAACCTGGTCTCCACAGTGAGTTTTAGGCCAGTTGGGGCTACAGGGGGACCCTGTCTTGGCTCAGTGGTTAAGAGTGCTGGCTATTCTTGCAGAGTACCCAGGTTCAATCCCAGCACCCACATGGTGAGTAACAACTGTCCCTAATTCCAGTTCCAGGGAATTTGATGCCTTCTTCTGGTCTCTGCAGGCATTACATGACATGGGTGCACTTACATACATGCAGGCAAAACACTCATATATATAAATAATTAATTTAAAATACAAACAAAAATAAATAATATGGGGATGGAGATGTAGATTAATTGGCAAAATGTCCTAATGTGTTGGCACAAGCCTGTAATCCTAGCACTCAGGAGGCAGGAGGATCAGAAGTCTAAGGGTCATTCTCAGCAGAGTTCTGTGCTCTATATAGAACTCTGTATACAGTTCAAGGCTAGCCTCAGCTAGAGATCCTGTCTCAAAATTAACTAAATTATTAAATGTGTGTACAAAAAGTATGCTTTAGAAATAGAGCAGAACTAGGGATGTAGCTCAGTTGATAGAGTGCCTGACTAGCATGCATAAAGCCCTAGGTTCTCTCCCCAGCATTGCATAAACCATATGTAGGGGCCATGCACACCTGGATTCCCAGCACTTAGGACCAAAGGTTCAAGGTCATCTGTGGTTATATATAGAGTTCGAGGCCTTTCTGAGATACATGAAACCCTGTTTTTAAAAAGAGATTGGAGGGGAGTGTATGTGGTGATGCATGCCATGATCCCAGCACTTAGGAGGCAGAGGCAGGCAGATTTCTGTGAGATCGATGCCAGCCTGTGTGGGGAGTTCTGTGGTGCAGCACTTATCTAGCATTCAAGAGACCCTGGGTTCAATCCCCAGCACTTTAAAAACAAAATATGCAAAACTGGAATAAAATCTCATGGGGAAGGGAGGCTGGGAGGTGTAGCTCAGTGGTGGAATGCTTGTTTAGCAATATATGGCCGTGGGTTCCATACCCAGAACTAAACAAACAAATAACAACCTCCACAGGTAAAACCCTCCCCTCCCTTCTATGCTGCTGGCTTTGTTAGTGACGCTTTCACATGGACTCCTAACTGCAGATCCTCACATATACAGCCCTTCCCTGTCTTTACAAGTGAACCCAAGCTCCTGCGCTTCTTCGCTTCTCCACACCACCTTGTAGCTGTGCTGCCTGCTCCTCTTCAGTCTTCAGGTCTTAATGCCACCTGGACTGGTATGTCCCTGGAATCCCTATGACTGTCCAGCACATGGATTATCTGTCAATGATGACAGCCTGCGTACATTTAGCACTTACAGGTGCCAAGGCAGACATTAAGTATTCAATCTGCATATTGTCTGTGCCTCATTTTACAGATGAGGAGAAGATGGCAGAAGGAGGTTAAATAACCCTCCTAGCTAGCAGACACTGGAGCAAAAGTTCAAACCCAGACAGTCTGACTCTGGATCTAATGTCCAGAATGATATTTCTTTGACAGCAACATGCTGCTCAGGTCCTCTACCTATGGCCTCTTACCATCCAATCTCCTCTTCTTTCATTCTTCTTATTCATTAGACCAGAAGTTGTCTAAAACAACATCCTGATAATATAGTTCCAAAACATCAGTATTCAGTATTATAGAATAAGCATGTAGTTTTTTCCCAGACCAGTTTTCATCTGTATTCCTGGGAACCCCAGGGGTAAGTTAAAAGTGGCAGCATCCTAGAGAAGGGATGGCTGACCCTTACAGGGCAGTTCAATACTGCAGAGGTATGACCCTGACTAACCTAGTTTATGTTCCAGAAGTTGAACTCAAAGAAAGTTTAGAGAAAGCATCGCTCTATGAAAACAAAAGTTTAAAAATCATTTCTCGGGCCAGTCCACGTACCTTCATTCTAACACCTTAAGAAAGCACAGGATCTTTTCACCGCAGGGTCATGAACACTATTTCCAGTGTTCCACAATGTTCGTACCATTTCTTCAAATTCAAACTTCTGAACTGAGTTCTTCTAATAGGTTTCCTATTCTAAACTGTAAAATAGGAGAAGGAACTACACTTCCAAAGATTGCTTTTGGTTCCCAAATCATTTACTCCCTGTTCTTTGAATTATGCCTTTCTCTCCTGTCTCTTTTATCCAAAGGGATGCTGTGTCTATGCCCAGGAAACACTCACCTGGTCCAGAAAAGGCAGGATGCCCCACAAGGTCATGAACTGTAGTGATGTCAATGATTCATAGGCAGTCGCTTGTGTAGATTTTGGTTGAAGGTACCTGGGAACCTCTGCAAGGAAGCACATGCTAGCCATTGTAGGACCCCCATTCAAGGACCCCATTACCCTGCTGTCCCAAGGCCTCCAAGAATGAAGGACTCAGTTACAGGATGACTTCTTAACTTCAGGAAGAGTTGAGGCAGGTGCTAATTGAATAAGTGTCATATCATATCATACCCTTAACTCTTTGAAGGATGTGCCTTACTGTCCTAGAAAAAGAGGGGCACATTGACCCCAGCTGCTAGACCTAGAGATCTCAACCCCATTACAGTCTCCTATAGCCCAACTGCAAAGGCATGCATGCTCTCAGATTCCACCCCTTCCTCCCCATTTCAACCACGTCATGCATACAAAATATCTAGCTCAAAGGAAATGGAGCTGGAACCTCTAGTTCTTAGAAGTTTCAGGGGATTATAGGCACAGCCAAGACAAAGCAGCATGGTCCTGTGCTGAGCACATGACAGTAGAACTTATATCTCATGCATGTCTGTCTAATGGTAAACTGTAGGAAGCTGGGTTTCTCCCAAAAAGATCCCCATATATTCCCTTCCCTCCTCTCAGGATTGAGCACAATGGAGAAAGCTAAGTCACCATTTGGATTGAGGGTACTGCTGGTTACCTCTGACAGAGTGAAAAAATTGCTGGAATGCAAGGTACTCAGGTGTGTATTCTCCATTCTCTTTCAGCAGTGCACTGTAATCTGAAGAATACAGAGAAATGCATCATTTTCCACAAAAAAAAAAAACACCAGCTATAGCTTCTTTCTCCATGAAGAGAAGAAAGTTTAGCTCTGAGTAAACACATCCTTAATACAGTAACTTTGGAGGAAAAACTCTGGGCACATGATAAGAAAATTCCACATCCCTGGTGATCCAAACTAAGAGGCATCCACTAAACCTTGCAGAGCGTTTGATGGGAGACACATTTTATCAATCTGTGGGTCTATAATAAGTCCTGGCTGAGAGCCCACAGCCCTCCGAAGGCAGTGGTTTATCCTTCCTATCCAATTCCTTTTAAAAAATAAAGAATTTATTAAAAATTTAAATTTCTGATCTTCAAAACACACAGTTAAGAGAATAAAAAGACAAGCCATATACTCTGAGAAAATATTTGCAAAACAAATAATTAATGAAGATCTATCCAGAGCTTAGTTTTTAAAACTTTCAAAATTAAAGAAAAGAAGTAATTATTTTTTTAAAAAGTGGAACCAACATCTGCATAGACATTTCACCAAGAAAGGTAGACAAATGTTAAATTAGTAAATAAAAAGTCATTAAGAAAATGCAAATTAAGACCATAAGGCACCAATGAACAACCATTAGGACGATTATATTAAAAAGTCTAAAAAGTATCAAGTATAGGTAAGGATGTGGAAGAACTGGATTCCTCATGTTTCTAAGGGAACTACTCATTTTATTTCACCCTTAACTTCCCACTTGGTCTTTTAATAGGCTTGGGAAACAAGGAAAACATGTTCATGTGACCCTGGTACTCTCATGAGATTCAAAGCAACAGACTCTGCATGGAACTTTTTAAAGCAAGGGTCTATATAGCAGATAAGTAAGGAGAAGCTATTAACCTTGTCTGCTTGCAAAATCTCAGGAAGCCTAGATCCCAGTAGTGAATAAAATTCTAGTACGGTAAGAACAAATATCAATCTCCAGTGTACGTTAAAGTCAAAATAGCTGAACAATTTCAGGTATTTCCCTTAGGGGCCTACCCAAGATGCTCCAGCATCAACGTAGGGGCAACCTAGGTTAGAGACAATTCTGGGGGCCAAGTACTTGCCATAGGTGGTGGCCACAGGGAGGTAACCTTGTGAAGAATGAGCTCCACCCGTGAAACCAAAGTTGGTGCCACCTTGGAACATGTAGAAGTTGAGGGAGAACCCAATCTTGAACATCTCACACACATCCTTCATCAGCACTGCACAGACATAGAAATGAAAGGAGAAATTGAAGATTTTGAGAGAATTCATAGTTCCTCATAGATTTTCAAATCAGCTCTTACCTAAACTCTTCAAGAGCCACTTAGAGTTTATGCCCAGAAAAACTTTCAAAATGAGGCAGAATTGACTTAAAGAATTGGTGAGTTCATTTTCATAATCCAAAGTTACCTATTACTTTTCTTCTATGTTTTATTTTAGGGTTACTATTTCTTCCCAGCACACAAACTACATATATCAGATATTTGCTTATGGCTTTTTTAAAGACAAAATTGTGTCTAGCTTAGTGTTTTTGAAGCACTAACTTCTTACAGTGACTGATCTGCTGGAATGATGGCACCAGGAACATTTACTTTCAACTTCATTTTAATGACCATCATTAATTCTCCAGGGTGGGCAAGAGACTTGAAATCAGATGTTTTGGGGCCGGATAACTATTTATTTCAACCCAACACACCTTTATTGAATTCCCCTATTTCACAGAATAATTCACTCTAATTACATTTATAGCCTCAATAAAATATAATTAGAATGAAAACTGCTAAAACTTTTAAAATCCCCTTGCAATGATCTCATAGCTGTTCATGCTCCATGGTCATGTCATCTGAGCAGATTTCTGGGAGGTGTTTGCCTAACCAGGCTGATGTTTATGCAAATACTGAAATGGCAAAACAATCCATTTTGTTCTAGCTGACTTTTGCTTTACCCTTGGTTTCTTCTGCTCAGCCATTCCCACTGCAGCCACACAGCCAGCCAGAACATCCCATGCAGGCTGCACCTGTAGCTTCAGGGGGTACACTGTTTCTATAATACTGGAAAACTTACAACTAGCCAGGTAGCATGTCCAGGCAGCATGTCCTCCCATCCAGCTATACCTGCATGTCCAGGGAGTTCAGTGTCTCTGCAATTCTGAAAACTTGTTTTTCCTAATTGAAACTTTTTAACTGAAAACCTCTTTGTTAACTGACCTGCCCCTGGTCTGGTGTAACTATGATGATCTGATATAACTATGATTATTGGTTCTGCCCTTGGCATGATGCAATGGTGGTTTCAGGCTTTATAAATCCCACTCAGAGTTGGGAGTTCTTTTAGACATGAATCCCTTCTTGACTGCCAGCTTATAAAGGACTCTTGATTCGACCCAACACTGTGTGGCATTTCTCTGAGAATATTACAACATCTGGAAGCATTTCCCCTAAACCTGAAGTATACTTTCAACATCAATGCCACCTATTTTCTTGAGAAAGGCAGGAAGAAGGACTCACTCTGTGGATCTCGACTCTGGCGAGCAGTACCCCATGTGTCGGAAGAATCTGCTGTATATACCATCATCAATATAGGGCTGCTACCCTGAGAAAAAACAATTGTCCATTTAGAAAGCTCTTATGCAATTCAGAAGCCCTGAGTCACTTACAAGGGTACTCTGAAGTGCAGTTCAAATATACCCTTTGACTGGAAGCACCCTGCCACACCCATGAGCTCTGAGTTTTAATCTCCCATTCTCACATTATCTTCCTGGCCAGGTGGCCTCCTCATGTGGTTTCACTGGTTTTCTTGCCCAAGATTTTTTTAAAAAAACCTGCTGCCATTTGACTACTGCCCTTGCAAGAATATTCTAAAACTAGAATTTGGAATTTCTATAAATAGAATCTATTCTCTTGAGTGACCAGAGTAGAGGCCTAGTAAGAAATGCCTGACACAGAGGAAGCATTAAAAATGTTCAATAAATGGATATCAAAAATGTTGACTCTTAGGGGACTGGAGAGATGGCTCAGTGGTTAAGAGCACTGGCTGTTCTTGCAGAAGACCCTGGTTTGAATCCCAGCACCCACATGGCAGTAACAACTGTCCATAACTCCAGTTCCTAACAACTGTCCGAAACTTCAGTTCCAACACAGGTGCACTTACCTACATGCAGGCAATACATGCATAAAATAATAATAATAAATTATAAATAAAATATTTTTTAAACTTTTTAAAAGTTGAATCTCCTGAAAGGAGAATTCCTCAAACTCAGTACTCACATCCTCTTTTATGCCCTCTTCCCTTCCCATCTCTGAGTCACCTTCGACCCATTTATCTTTCCGGTCTACAGCAATATATTAGCCCTTCTATTCAGCTGGACTCCACAGTTGGCCCTTTCAATTCTGTTGTTTCTAGCACTGTAAAGTTAATCCAACCTTTTAGTTTCTGTTATCAATACTGCCACAAACTCCTGCTCTGGGTCTCTTCCAGCCAAACGCAGAAGTATCCATGTTCATGCCTAAGTGGTCAAGTACTTCAAAGAAAGTCATAAAATACTGCCAACCCAATTTGCTACAATTTTATGTGACATGGCTTTATCTATATTTCTTCTTGGAAATCCTCATATTTAAAATTTTGTAAACTTTATTGAATTCCAAAAATCATGCCCTCAATATTTTTTTACTTTTATTTTATATGTATGTTTCACCTGTATGTATGTAAGAACACCTGCGTGTGCAATGCCCGTGGAGAGAAGAAGGTGCCAGATTCCCTGGAACTGGAGTTATAAACAATTTTCAGCTGCCATATGGGTGCTGGGAACCAAACTGGGGTCCTCTGCAAGAATAGCCAGTGCTCTTGACTGCTGTACCATCTCTCAAGCTTTTAAGGTCAATTAAGCTTAGACCACCTGATTCAAGCTCCTGAAACTTCCTTTCTTACCATCTAATATCTCATAGAATCTCCAAATCATAGCACTATGGCCTGAATGTCTGCCATCTCCAGATCATAACCCCATCAAATTCGTATGCTAAAATCCTACCTCCATGGTCATAGTTTTAAGAAGTAGGTGGGGTCTAAAGGACATGAACAGATCATGAGAATGGAGACCTCATGAAGGAGATCACTCTTCTTATAAAATGAAGTCCCACAGAGCTGCTTTGCCCTGAAGTCACCATCACTGAACCAAGAAATGTATCCTCAGCAACAATGAGTTGTTCACATGCTGACCTCAGCCTCCAGAATTATGAGAAACATATTTCTATTGTTTATAAACCACTCAATGTAGGACAGTTTATTATAGTTGCCAAAACTGACAAAATTAATAGATTTTTACATTTAGAAAGAATTTTTTTTAATTCAAGTTTTCTAGTATATTACTGGTCGCCTCACGTTGGTATTGCCACTTCTAAACATTCAGTCAGTATGCAGCAACCCTTCATTTCTGTATAATGGGGAATTCATTGCAATCTAGGGCAATTCATTCCATTTTAAAAAATAAATTAGGTTGACAGAAATTAACATACATATAATGAGCCAATATATGTTTTCTTATTTATCTGTACTCATTGAGACTAAATGTGTTCTCTGGTACTTCCCCTTTCATGTAGTATAAGCTCACGTTCTGAGGTGCCCATTAGATGAATATTATCTTTAATGTAAAGCTCATTCTTAGTTCTTTGAGTGTATTGTACTAGTTACTTTTCTGTGGCTGTGATAGAAACACTGACCAAAGCAACTTATAAAAGGAAAAGTTTATTTGAGTTTACGGTTCCAAAGGGGCAAGAATCCATCATGGCAAGGAGGCATGGTGGCAGAGGTGGCTGAAGGAGGAGTGGAAGCTAAGCTCTCAAGCAGGCACAGGAAGCAAGAGCGACTCGAGATCTGGCAAGGCTTAAGGACTCTCTAAGCCCACCCCCAGTGACGTGCTTCCTCCAGCATGGCCGCACCTTCTAAGACCTCCCAAAACAGCACCACTAACTGGGGACAAAAAATGTCAAAATACCTGGAGCCTATGGGGGACATTCTCATTCAAACCATCACATGTATCTTTATGCAATTCCTACACTGTGCTTGGTGAAAGTAGTCCACTTTGTTAAAATGCCACCTAAACTATGATGTCCTGAGCAGATAAAAACAAAACAGGACTTTTTCCAGTGTTTTTAACCAGTGTGGTGACATCATTTCTATGAATAAAACCCATGTTTTCAAAGCTATTGGCAGTAGAGGGAACAGATCCAATTTAAGTAAAGCAGGAAGCCAACTAACCTCCAACATCTCTTTCACATACATGCTATCAAGTCAGGTCCCTTCCTTGCTGTGTTTTAGCCTCAAAGCCTTGCTTGGATAAAAAAACAAACACAGAAACAGAGAAAGAGCTCAAAAGCAGTTTTCTCCCTATATTGAGTTAATTTTATGAAACCTATTCTAAGAATTGCCTCTCATGTTCTCTTTTTTGGTCAAATATAAGAAATGCATTAGAAACATGTAACATTCCAACACTATGGCCTATGAATCAAGTGTTGTGAGCTTATAAATTTGAAACAACTTACAGTAAGCATTTAACAGCACCATAGATTCAAGTTTTAACTAAACCAATAACTGCTAAGATTTTAATCAAGAAATAAGCCAAGAGGTCCAGGAATGCACAAGAATCAAAACATCTACCGTCTCTGAAACATCCTTACCCGAAGTGAAGAAAGCTCCTTATATGTTTCTATCTGTATATTCTTCATGTGGACAGTAGCCAGCACTATGGATAGAGAGATTAAAGGCATGAGATCCTACCATGACCACTACAGGGCATCGGCAGAAGACGCTCCTTAGAGTCAGGCTGCAAAGCCCAGCCCATATCTCCTAGACATATGCCTCAAAGATTCTCACTTTAACATTTCTATGGCCAGAGCAAACAATAAAGATAGAATACTATGCTTACATCCACAGAAGCACCATACACATGGATTTCAAATGCATCACTTCATTTAGCATTTATAGTAATAATTTAGAAAGTAAAAATGGAAGTTAAAATAAACCACACAATGCAAGTGAGTACATGAAAGATGAATGAAGAAATTGAGACCCCAAATTTTTATTTTGTTTTTCTGGTCATCAAACCTAGGACTTCATTCATACCTAACTTCTAATTTAGAACATTGTTCTAAACCTCCAAGTATAACAGGGAAGGGCCACCATAAAGACCAGGGACAGTAGAGGACAACCGAGCTGAAAAAGTTGTTTATATTAGAGAATTTCAAGAAGCATTTTTCTTGACCTTCATCTCTTGCATCTATTTATTAATTCTTTGCACACCTGGGTTTGAACCCATGGGTACATGCTAAGCAAGTGTTCTACTGAGCAGTATCCCTCCACCTCCCCCACCCCCACCCCCATTGCTTTTATTCTTTGGATTAATTTGCTCCAAGAACTTCCAGGGCTAGGTCCATGACAGTGCTATTTCTCTGAAATCCCCCATTCCCTGGTGTCCAATCAGGGATGCTTGTCAGAGGAGACTGGAGTGATGCTCTGGTCATAACAGCTGGTGGGTAGCAGCAGGACTGAGTCCTGCTTCCTAATTCATCTTTGACCAGAAATTCTTACTACCAGGAAATGGAAAGACAAAGCATCATGACTTGTGTTGTTCTAGCTTGACCAGGGACAGAAAGAGATAACACCAAAACCGTACCCTTTTTCAAGTGGCCCCTTCTCAGTTCCAGACCATCATCTGCAGTCATGAGCAGCTCTGTGATCCCTCTTGACACCAAGGCCTAAGGAGAAATTTGGTAAGGGAAGTGGACTGTTTCTAGTCCCACGAGATTGCTTCTTCCTGGGGGAAATAACTATGGCAATGAAAATACCTTAAGGAAGCTGAGACACAGGGTGGATGGTGATTCCCCATCCAAGTACTTTTAAGTTAGGAAGCTAAGACAAAAATACAAGTCCTTTCTCAGTCATACTCCTCAAATCCAAACTGGAAATTCAAATTTCAAAACTTCATTGAAGAGGCAGAGAGATGGTTTATATCACCTAAAACAGTGTTTTCCCTTAACAAGCAGAATTCTGGGGTTTCTCCAGACCAGAAAGCATAAGAGGAATGTTTCTGTATACACCATCACCAAATTACCACACCCCACAAGCCAAATTCACAGGCTGCACCTATGAACCCACACACCACTACTAGTTTCTTTCAGTCACTGGGAAAGGCACATGAGTTGTGGCTTAGGCAGCCCACAGGTTGCACTGTCAGCAGCATGAGCCTTAAATATTCCTAATTTAACTTCAAATAACTCTAAGAGTGACTCTCAAGACTGAGAGAAGAGACTTAAGGAACTTATCTAAATGTGCCAACAAAACACTGAGACTGTGGCTCTAAGTTTTTTTGGATCAAAATACCCTGAAAGTAGTTAAGTCTTATAATTAATCCTTGAGTCCTTTGTTGGTGTCAGAAAATGGTTTGTTTCTATTGAATCCTTTCAAAAACTAAGGGAGGCAAAAAAGTGACTCATGGGGTGGGGGGGGGCAGTTGTCATCTGTCAGTCAGAGTAACTATGCCTTGATTCTTGTAAGTTCAATGATGATTCAGTGTTTCAACTCTGACACCAGTGAGTAACATGGCTTATTGGCAGATGACTAAATAATACAACCAAAGAAGAAGGCTTAAGAATTGTCCCGACCCGCGTGACACCTCTACCGTGGGACGATGAGTGAGGGTCTTAGAAGAAATGAACAAACAAGGAACATGAAGAAAGGAAGCAAGACAGTGTTCTGATCAAGCTCCGTTTATTGAGTACACACAGCATATTTTTATAGTAGGGTTAGGGCAGGGGGAGTGGAAGGCGGGGAAAGAAGAAAGAAGAAAGGCTCTGGTGGAATTTTCCACTAAGGGCTGATTGCCAAAGTAGGGCAGAGGGGGTTTGTCTAAGAAGACATGTGGTTAGGCAAGATAAGGAAGTTGCCTGAGTAGGAGTAAGGGGCCAGGGCAGGGCTAAGGTGAAAAACCATGTTTTCTTTTGAAAAGATCGTTAAGTTTTTCTTTCATGCTATGGCTGGCAATTATTAAACGGTTTCTGGCATCTCCTCCCTTTCCACAAGAACAAGACCCCTCCCGAGAACGATTGTTCTCAGATGCTCTTGGTATGTTTTGGGGAGGCGAGGCAGAGCAGAGCGTCAAAGGCCCAAGTCAATGGAGCCAGCAGTGTTCCCGGGTGACTGCGCCTGTCTTAGGTTGGAAGTGATCTCGCCTCAGGTGTTCCACAAGAACAAGACCCCTCCCGAGAACGATTGTTCTCAGATGCTCTTGGTATGTTTTGGGGAGGCGAGGCAGAGCAGAGCGTCAAAGGCCCAAGTCAATGGAGCCAGCAGTGTTCCCGGGTGACTGCGCCTGTCTTAGGTTGGAAGTGATCTCGCCTCAGGTGGCACCCGTCATGGGATAAGGCAGCAGCTTAGGCAGCCCTCCTGTCTTAGGTGCTTAAGATGGGGAGTCGCCTCTCTTACCCGTCTTTGGCTGCCAGTCAAGCTCGTTGGGCAAAGATGAATGTACCAACCTCATGCTAGTCTTGTTTTTGATGGAAGTGAGAGGGAGTGGGGCCTAAGAAGGCCATTTATAAGTCCATAGTTGTTGCTGGGGGGATCTAAGTGATCCATCATAAGCTGGACCATCAGGATCTGTCATTTCTAAACGTTGGTAATGAATTTGTATTGGCTTAGAGAGTAGTGAATCAATTTGTTGTTTAATAAGTCTAGTAAGCCTATTAAAGGCCCAAGGTCCAAAAGAAATTAAAAGTAATAATCCTATTAAGGGGCCAATTATGGCTGGTAAGAGAGAAGTGAGCCAAGAAGAGCCCGAGAACCAGCTTTCATACCAGGGTGTTTGTGAGTCTCTTTCTTTTTTTCTTTTGTCTAGACTTTCTCTTAAAATTTTCATACTATCCCTTACTGCCCCTGTTTTGTCTATATAAAAGCAGCATTCTTCTTTTAGTGCTGCACATAAACCTCCCTGTTGTAAAAATAATAAGTCTAGACCACGTCGGTTTTGTAAGACTACCTCAGCCAAAGAAGAAAGGGAGACAGCTAAGTCATCTATGCCTTGTTGTAATCGCCAGACATCTTCTTCAATGGCAGCTTGCAGGGCATCAAACTTGGAGCTGCTGATCAGGAGGGAAGCCACACCGGTTCCTGTTCCTGCTGCACCTAAACCTAGAAGGACTGAAATTGTGAGGGCAGAGACTGCTTCTCTTTTAGAACGAGGATGGTTAGTGGGAGGGTCCCTAGAGTTAGTGATGTTTGAACTGCAGGATGTATGAGGAATGGTCCCCAGATCAATTCTGGAACTGTTAGGGTACGGTGAAGAAAAAATACAAAGTCCTGGTAACACGGGCAGGGCTTGGGCTTGTAAGGGGGGCAAGAGGGTACAATTATTATGTAGAGGCAATAAGTCAGGATCTGAGTTATTTGTAATGGCAGAGGCATTGATGATTAAAGCGATGGGCACTGGGGGCCCAATTTTCTGACATAACCAACAGTTATCAGCAAGGGAAGGAACAGTCTGGTTTAAGAGGGCATGAGTAAGTTCTAATAAGTCTTCTGTTTGAGGGTCGAGTTCTAATTCTCCTCGGTCTTTAGGCAGTGCCAGGGGGTGATAATTAAGACTAGGATATAATTTTTTTATTCTTTCTTGTATTTCTGAATTAACTTTGGCCTCTCTTACTCTATCTTGTACTCCTCCCCCATCAGTGTATCCTATGGGGGCCTCGTAGTTCCAGCATACTTCTGTACCTACATTTCCATAACAATTAGAGGCAGCCAAGTTTCCCTCAGTGGCAAGGGGGCGCCGGGCTAGCCGTGTCCCCATCCAATAGGTTTTATTTTGATAGGAACACTCCTCTGGGAGCCATCTAGCAGCGTCATGTTGCTGCGAGTATATGCACACTGATCCTCTTCCCCAGATCAAGACTGGGTCTTGCCTGTGCCATTTGTATGTGAGGGGATCTTTCCACATTGCCTTTGCATAGCCGTTTTTTGTATCTGAATGCCAGAATCGATCAGCTGCAGAATTCCCAGAGGTGTCTAGCTGTAGAAAGTTGAGGATGAACAAGGCATGGTCTAAAATCCTGCGTGGGGAGCTTTTTGAGGGGTGAAGAGGACTATTTTTTATTTTCTGAAGTGTAGCCTTGAGTGTCTGGTGAGCACGTTCTACTATTCCCTGACCTTGGGGATTGTATGGAATGCCAGTGACGTGCTTGATATGGAATTGTGCACAGAAGGTTTTGAAAGGCTGGGAAGTGTACCCAGGACCATTGTCTGTTTTGATTTTATGGGGTTTGCCCAAGACAGTGAAACATTGAAGCATATGGGTTATGACATTTTTTGATGTTTCTCCGGGCTGTAAAGTAGCATAAATAAAACCACTAAATGTATCTATAATTACATGAATATATTTAAGTTTTCCAAATTCAGAGAGGTGGGTGACATCCATCTGCCATAGCTCATTGGGCAGGATCCCTCTGGGATTGACTCCCAGATGGGGGGTGGGTAAAAGGGTCACACACCCAGGACATTGCTTAACTATTTGGCGTGCCTGTTCCCTAGTAATCTTGAACATGAGGCGGAGGGTATGGGCATTCAAATGATGGAGGGCGTGAGCCTGCTGGGCTTGTGAAATAGGACTGGTGTGGACTAGGAGTGCAAGGCGGGTGTTCTTATCTGTCAAGGCATTGCCAAGGGAAAGTGGTCCAGGCAGGTCTGTATGGGCTCTTAAATGTCCGATAAAGAAGGGGGATTTTCTTTCATGTATCAAGCGCTGTGTTTTGTGAAAAAGAGGGGCAGCATTAGTGGCTGGTTTTATGTATGGGAGAGTTTCTAAAAAGAGTATGGAAGAGGCCACGTAGGCACTGTCAGTATAGAGGTTGAAGGGGGATGAGGGAAGCTTAGAAAACACTTGACAGACAGCATAAAGCTCTACAAGTTGGGCCGATTTAAAGGGGGAGATTTCAGCAAACTCTTGACTATCAATGGTATAAGCAGCGGTCCCATTAGAGGATCCATCAGTAAAAACCAGAGAGGCGTTTCTAAGGGGGCGATTGGAGGTGACACGAGGGAATAAAAAGGGGTGCATTTGAGCAAACTGCAGGAGTTTGTGAGGGGGGTAGTGATTATCAACCTTGCCTTGGAAGGAGGTGAGGGTCATGGCCCAATCATCATCTGTTTTTATAAGCCAATTTAATTGATTTTTTGTATAAGGGAGTATTAGTTGATCAGGGTCCTTGCCAAAGTAGGTTAGACTCTTTTCTCTTCCTAATTGGATCAATTTTATGATTAGGTGGGGGTATGGAGCCAGTATTTTGGTCGGAGAAGCCGACAGATGAACCCACAGTAAGGGATCATCTTGCCATAACACTCCTGTAGGGGTGTGGGGAGTAGAACAAATTATTAGGGCGAAAGGCCTGTTATATGACATGTAAGTAACATGTTGTTTTTGAATAGCTTCTTCTACAATGTGGAGTGCCTTATGGGCAGCAGGGTTTAACTCTCGTGGGGACAAGGGATCTGACTCTCCTTGAAGTATATCAAATAAAGGTTTGAGTTCTGCAGTGGTGAGTTTTAGGTAGGGGCGGAGCCAGTTAATATCCCCCAGGAATTTTTGGAAATCATTGAGTGTCTTAAGGTGTGAGGTTTTTAGTTGAACTTTTTGTGTTTTTATATGTTTATTAAAAAGTTCAAAAATTTTTGGCATAGCGTTGGACTATTGGCCATTCCTTGAGGAAGGACT